AGAACAGGTAGATCGGCTGAAGTACATTGAGGAACAGCAGGCAAGGAGAACCCACTCCCTTGGGAGCTGTGGGTCCCCTCCCTGGCCAGTGATCAAACTCTTAACTCACCCCTACCCCACCCCACCTCACCCTCACCTGCACACCCCCACCCTGCACTATGAAGCTATCTATAGCCACAATGGCATAGTGCAGTGCTTTAACCCACTGTGCCACCAGGGAGGGCCCTTTAACATTATCTTGTAAGAACAACTTCATTGAGGTGTAATTTACAAACCACAAAATTTCCCCAATTTAGGGGCATCATTTTAATGATTAAAAAAAAAAAGCAGGAATCAAGTTATGCAGCCATCACCCAATCTAGTTTTAAAATGTGCCCTTCTCCTCCACAAAATGTACTATTTCAACAAGATTCCCCATGCCCCATTCCAACCACTCTGTTTCCACTCCCAGCCCCAGGCAACCCCTCATCAACTTTCTGCCTCTCTAGACCTGCCTCTTCTGAACACTCCATATAAATAAAACCATACCACATGTGGTATTTTGTGTCTGACTCTTCTCATGTAACATACTTTTTTTGAGATGCAGCCATATTGTAGTCTGCATCTGTATTTTGTTCCTTTTTAATATTGAATAGTATCCCATTGTCATGCTGAGTGACATTTGGGTTGTTTTCACTTTGGGGCGCTTAGGAATAGGGCTTCTGTCAACATTTATGTGCAAGTCTTTGTGGAAACATATGCTGTCATTTCTCTAAGGCAGATATTAGAAGTGGAATTTCTGGATGGGATCATATAGTCAATTTGTTTCTTTTTAAGAAACTGCCAAGCAGTTTTCTAAAGTGGCTGCACCACTTTACATTCCCATCAACAATGTATGGTGTTCCCACTGCTCCACAACTTTGCCATCATTTGGTGTTGTCGACCTTTCCGGTGATAGCCATTCTAGTCAATAAAAACTGTCTCCCAGCCCTCCCTGGTGGCGCAGCGGGTTAAAGCACAGCACTAAGAAACTAAAGCTACTACAGCATGAGTTCAATCCCCGCCTGCCCAGGAGGTGACCACATGGCGTGGCAGACCTCTCCTGACCCGCCCACTGCTCCTTTCAGTAGTGTACTTCAATGATCTGCCTGTTCTGCTCCCCACTTTGTCTGTGGTGAAGCCTCTCACCACCCCTGCACCTCTGGCCTGTACCCCAGTTCTGTATGCATAAATAAATAA